AAGCCGTTGGACTGTTCCGATTGCTGGCTAGCTTATGCTACCAACTAACACGACGGCGATGGATGTTGGCTTGACACGAGTTATTGCGACGAGGCTCCTCTGGTCCCTGACCGACCAGTGGGGGATTCCCAGATCTGCGGTCTTCGAAATGGCAATGTCGATGAGGGTCAACGTCATGAAGTGCCAATCCAGTCCTAAGAGGCTCAATACCGCAATCCTTCCATTGGACGACCCTCGCCCATTGGGGTCGCTTAGGACATGCATTGAAATACGATGCGGTGAGTCTTACCTTTGCAGTATCGATTTACGAACCTGGCTGCTGTTGCGGGGCACCGTAGATGTTTCCCATAAGTTGACTCTGGTATTATACTTTTCTTCCCCCAATTCGCATTCTGCACCTTCTCTTCTGCTCAGTCGAGGCCCGCTCGCTGCACACAGGGTGCTGGGTCTGCCCCTGCACCACAGCTTGTGAGAATTTTGCGGGAGAGCTGCGATCGGTGGCTACGCGCCTGATCGGTGTGAGATGGCTGGACTGGGGGTCAGCTAATATCCAGCAACTAATATAACCAACAATGCCGGGCGACAGTAGGGCAGCGTCAAAAGGGCACGGACTGGGTTATTACGTGCTGTTCTCCCCTCGCATCGCATAGTGCATTGAGTCCGTCCTACTGCATCTGGAAGGACAGAGCCAGACTATTGCTTCCAGGGATGGAGAGGGACCTGGGTTAGCCACAGTGTATGCTGGTCTTGGACGGTGGCGGCGTGCAGGCGGAACGACGACCGCACTCCCCATCCAACGGCCTTAGTTCCAAAATGGGTTAACTGGCTGTTGGATGGAGAGGACCGTCCGGAGGGTATTCTCCCTAGGCCGACACGGCCACAGAAGGCTTAAGATTTGATGTTTCAGCTTTCGCCACCAGGAGCGTCTTCAAATCACCGGATTCTCGACGTGCTCCTACACGCTGTTAGGTGTGTGTGGTGTGCGCGATGATGGCATTGTACATCATATCCCTTTTTCTGTTTGCTGCACGGGCCAGATCGCTGTTCCCCCGGGACTGGATAGGCTGGTAATTGGCGGATATAAAAAGAAGGAGCGTGGCTTTTAGCGTCCATGTGATGGAGAAAGTCGATAGGGTTGCAAAGAAAAGGCGTATTGGGCTCGGCGGAATAGCCACAGGCAGGTGACAATTACCTACATTGCTCGTCCAGAAGTGGTGATGGAGATGCAAATCCGCGGGTTGGGGTGTGGCGTCGTCAGCCTCTCGCCACATCAGATGTTGATCATCTCGCGTTGAACAAACCTAAGCCACAACGGTTGGGGAACACGCACGGCTGCGACGCTGAGGGCCACCCTTTCCACCCCACGCCCGCTGATCCGAGATTGGAGAATGGCACTCTTCAGCTGGCAAGACACATCGGTCCGTCGTCGAGGAGAAAATTGCCCAGGGGGATTGTCGGCACGCCCAGATTCTTGGTGCATGCTTATCGTTCCATAGCCGCCCCGGCGCCTGGGGCCCTGCCCTGGGAGTTGAAATGATGGCGGCTGTTATGAACGAGGGGAGGGGTGTGCGCTGCGTGCACCCACTGTGGCTTCCGCTTGGTCTCCCAAGGCCACTAGCCCAGCACTACTCTATGTGTGTAATTGATCAGGGTAAGCCGGTGGGACAAAATGGCCTGATGTTTGCTGGGCGATTGCGTTAGATCTGACCTCTTTCATTGTGCTGGAGTCTAGATCCTCTCGGCACCTTTGTTGGTACAAACTCTCAACGTGGGGGAGATCGGTCGAGCTGTGATAAGGTTGCTGCACAGCCACACGGATACGCAGCGGCTATTCGGCGCGAGGGCCTCTTGCCGATCAATATAGCACAACACGAGAGACAATCACTGTGATGGTTGCGAGAGTTGCGCGTCCATGAGGGCAACTGTGCGCCACTGTGGCTGGTGCTGCTACCCGATGACCCAATGCAATGTGCAATGTGCAGCCTGCAGACGTCTTCGTAGCCACCGGGTGGAAACAACATGGTTGTTGAAGCTGCTTGTCGTTGGCGTTTTTGGTCTCTTAGTGTGCCCACACCAGCGAAGCGGTTTGGAGTAAGCCCACATAGTGTGGCTTAGCACGAAACTCTCCCTCTCTGTCTCTTTGTTATCCGCCACCACAGCCTAGGTCATTGATGAGGGGAAAATGAGGAGGAGGCTTGCCGGTTCAACGTTGGAATTGGTAGTATGATGTTCCGAGTAGCGAAAAACTCTGCAATACAGAGCAAAGGCAAATTCCAGCCGGGTCCATCACTGCTAGCGGCAGTGATTGGACCAGACGCTAGTATCGCGCATGATCCACAGCAACGGTCCCGGCTAGTTGCACTTTCTCTTCGAATTGGAGGATTTGCATCTTGGAGACAAGAGCAGGCAACTGACTGCGCTTTTATCCATTGCCGATACGGGGAGCTGCCGTGCGCAACTCCGTCTAAACTGGATGAGCGGTATGCCTGGTGAGCTAACGCCGAGCATTTCATTCATCCGAGCTGATAGCTTCTCAATGTTACACGGCCGGGCATAGTACATGCAGGTTGACCAGGCTCCAGCACATCGTAAAACAATGGGCCGGGGTCGTTGGCCCTTCGTTCATGAGCTTCTGAGTTTTGACCCAAAGAGGCGCGCCACTAAGCGGAAGCTAGGGGGTGTTAGTTGAACCGCTGAGAAGCACGCACATCAATTTTGACCCAACTTACACAACGTCTGCACCTAGCAAGGGTCCCGGGCCCACTGTAAAGACAGACCAGCGGGACCCCTGTTGACTCGCTCCTGGCGTCGATGGGATGGATGTGCTTGAATACATCCACCAGATGCACGTACTCGTGGGATGGGATGGGCACTTCCGACTGCGTTACGTATGTCGCTCTCTCGTGGTATTGGCATTCCCCTTCCCTGGTGGACCGCGTATACGACGGAGAGGTACCAGAAGCCGGTCCGGATGTACGGGTACCCATAGAATAGGCGATGATGAACCTGAGGCTGTGGGTACCCCATACCTGTGCAGATGGAGCTGTCGCATGCTTTGCCTAAGTATTACTCCATGGCACGCTGTAGGTAGGTGAAGGTACCTGGGTGCGAGCGGCCAGACAGGACCTCAGGCGGCGGCAGCTCGTAGATTGGCTGGCTGTATGTAGGGGTCACACTGGAGGGAGCGGTAGGTACGTCGGTAGGTGAGTAGGTGCATGCTAGTCGGTGCATCGCAGAACCGCATTGGCATGGCGATGGATGGCAATGAAAACTTAACCGGGGTAAGAAGATCATTGATGCCCTCGATCTCCTGCCCGTCACCGTGCTCAATCAAACGGCTCGCATGACTCTGGCTGATATAACACCATAAGCGCCTCACCTCACCTCACATGGCTGCTGCCACTGCGCTGCACCTTGCCACTGCTCCCTACAACCTACACCAACAGCGTGCCAGACTCATTGCCCAGGTATGGGCCAGCTGGTAGTACGACTTCCCGCCTCACCCGCCTGACTTGTACCTGCCTGCCTCTTGTTGAATGACTTCTCCTCTTGCACCCGCGCTGCTGCCAGCCGAATTCCTCAGCCACTTCGCATCGTGCCCACCGCCTGGTACCTCTTTCATCTAATTCCCACCTACCTAGGTAGTAAGTATCGTTGGTTCGCTATTGCCTAGGGACTGCTCAGGCCGTTTCACTTTGGACCCGCCCCGATCACGCGCACTTGATTAGATCCCGTCCGACATCCCATCTCATCTCCCCTCGACGCCAGCGAGGCTTTACCTCTCTCTGCCCGTGGTTTCACACCTCGTCCTCTTGTCGCGTCCGTTGTTCGCCCATCCTCCCAACAGCTGGACAGAGCCCTCCTCATACTTCCTGTCAGGGGGCCAGCTTGTGGCTTGCCCTCGACGCTTCTGATATTCCCACTACTCTTTCTCTCTGTGCTCTGTCTTTCCGACCGACCTCGCCACTTTTCCTAGTCGAGCCGGGCCTATCACCAGCCCAGATTGACAGAGCCTCCTGTTGCGCACACCAGTCTCATTGCTACGTCCCGCGATTCATAGCTGCCGCGTCCCCCCCACCCCCTTCGGAGGCGACTTGTACCTGTCGGAGGGTGCCGACCAGTTCCCCTTCTTTTCCCATTTATTATTGGTATTATTACTCCCTCTTCTTCGTTCCGAAGACCCATCTCGACAAAGGATTCCCAAAAACCGGTGTGCCTGACTGCCGGCTTACCACTCACTTACACACCTCCAACCAGCCCTATACGTACCTCTGGGCCGGATCGCAGAACAACTTGTTGTTCCAGACAAGACAAGACAAGCCTCGCACAGCAGGAAGGATTTCGGAGCTCCTGGCCTTCTCTTCCGGTCTTGTTCATTTCTCACTTTTCTTCCGACACCAGGAAAACCGTCCCCTTTTCTTTGCCACAGATTGCGCATCCGACTAATAACATTGGTTGCACACCTCGTGCTTACTTACCTGCCTGCTACGTCCCTACCCCCCACTTGCTTGCGCCTTTCCATATTGATTCAACAAACAACTACCGGTCTGGCCGTCTCGCAACGATTTCTCTGCTGCATATCTCTCGTAGTCAACCCTCGGCTATCCTCCCCCTTTCACCTGCCGCTACTACTTGGCCGTCTTTATCACGGCCTCTTTGACCTAGGAATTGCAGCTGTCTCTCTGCAGTTCCTGTTCATTCTCGCGTCCTCCTGAGAGCAAATATCAACTCTCATGTCTATCAAGTTAGCCAGGCGCCTGATGCTCAGCTGAGTTTGCAGCACTGGAAGCGGAAACAAAAAATCATCCAAACGTCAGCCGCTGTTTCATAGATTGAGGTCAAAGCTTAGTGACGCATCTGTCCGTTGGGCAGGCCCTGACGACCGGTCCTACCATGTTTCGCTCAAGGTCGGTATATTCATTCATTTTGCCCCTAAAGAAACATCACAGATCCTTCCCCATCTGTTGGTCGGTTGCTAACACAGTTTCCCACGGCGCAGGCGGAGTTCACAGAAACCAGGTGACGATTTGCTGGCCGACTTCCGACAGCAGTTTCCTGAAATTGCGTCGACGAGCACAACAGCTCCAGCTCCACCAATCGCACAGACCAGCATTCCCGAGAACACCCTCAACATCGGGATTGCACCTCAAGAAAGGTAATTATCAATTTCGCCCCGTGGCTTAGTTTTCTGGCCCACTGTCTCTCCGTTTCCCCCGTGCTGGACGGGGAACCATGGCTGCCAAGGACGGCGAGGCGACCGTAGATTGAGACCTTGGCACCATTGCGACAAGTCCCGTCCTTGAGGTTGTCTAGTTCGTAGCTAACAGTCTGTACAGCCAGCCCCAAGCCATCGAGGCTGCTGAGCCCTTCCAGGACCATGACCCTACCCCCCGAGCAACAAACGAGCCCTGGCGGTTTACGCCATCGCTCATGGATCCAAGTCCATTCTCCTTTAACAGCTTCGCCAATGCACCTCCAGGCTATTATACACCCACACCAGGAGGCACTAACACTCTCTTCCACCCCCAAGCAGGTGACCTACACACGCCAATGGGGATGACAGCAGGGCCTGGACTGGGAACTCCATTGTCGATGCCGACATCAGCGAATGCTATTCAGTCAGGTGTGGCCTCGGCCGCAGGACCTGTTGGAATGGCGGGCTTCCAGCCCTTACCAACTCACCAGCTACATCACTTTAATCCTTTCGTACAGGCGCCTCCACCACCTCAGCCAACATTTGCCCCGTCGACGTTTGTCCATCAAGATACCGGCTATGAGACGATGGAACAAGACGGCTCGCCCCTCACGTCAAATCCACCCGAGGATCGTATGCCTTCAATCGGGTCTAATTTCCAAACGGGAACGACATTGATAAATTTTCAATCCCCGCAACTCCCTGGTGTTACCATGAGCCAGACTCTTCCCTCGTTTGCCGAGAAATTCCGATTTCATTCGACCCTGAATGCGCCTACGGCCATGATCAAGCACGCGGATGAAATTCCTGTGACGTATCTCAACAAGGGTCAGGCATACTCGCTATCCATCATCGACACGCAGGCCGCCATGCCTTTGATCCCAGGCACCAGATTTCGCACATTCGTACGGGTTTCGTTCGAAGACGAAGAGCAGAGACAAAAGCCTTCAGTCTGCTGGGGCTTGTGGAAGGAAGGACGAGGTCAGAATGAAGCCCACCAAAGAGGGGGAAAGCTTCAGGCAGTTGAATATGTGGAGGCAGGACAGCCTGTGGAGGGAGACGAGAAGAAGACAAGAGTCGAGCTAGACACTTCATCTTTCGACGGATTCTCTGTCATCTGGACTCCTGGGAGCCAAGGCGTCCCAGAGGTTAACATTGCCGTGCGATTCAATTTCCTATCTACTGACTTCAGCCACTCGAAGGGCGTCAAGGGAATCCCGGTACGGCTATGCGCGAAAACTAGGTTGCTCTCGGGGGACGGAAGCCCCAATAGCCCCGAAGACTCGACTGCTGAAATATGTTTCTGCAAGGTCAAACTTTTCCGCGATCACGGTGCCGAACGAAAATTGTCTAATGATGTGGCTCATGTCAAGAAATCGATCGACAAAGTGAAGCACCAAATCGCCCAAGTTGAGAATGGGCTCAAGGACGTTGGCAAGAGAAAGCGTTCCGGCGGTAAAGTCAAAATAAGCGACAACACCCGAGTCGGAAAGGCGACGAAGCACAAAAGAACCTGGTCTATGTCTTCAGCGAGCTCTGTGGACGGTGGAAGCGGTGCAGGGGGGAGTCGTACAACACTCGAAGACGACCTTCACTACAAACTGCAGACTTTGATGGACATGTTTACCAGCACAAGGCCTGTCAGTGTGCTATATCTCCGAGGCGAAGATCTTGATGACCCTGATGCGCACCCGGTGTCACTCCCAGGGAACCAGTCACCACAATCCAAACCAGACGGCTCCACTTGGCCTGTGAGGAGCACTCAAAGCTCCATTGCCGAGTCCATGGTTTCACCTTCCCCAAGCTCCCTCTCGCTGGCATCTCAACAATCCACCGCCGGACAAGGCGGGCAATGGCAGAACTTTGACGTGATACAGGGCGGAGATGCACCTCTCAAGGTGGCAAATGATAAACCGATAAAAGTCAACAAGACGGACGACGAAGGAAAGACGAGCGGCTGGATCGAAGCCGTAGGCGTTGAGCCAACATACTGTCCTCCACCCGACAGGACACCGAAGCCCGTCGCTTGCTTCTACATTCTTCGCCGCGATAACAATAATGGCCTGCAAAATCAATACCATCGAGCGATCTACCTCATGCAGCGAACATTGCGAGAATTCAACCACTGCATTGCTGAGAAATGGAATTTGGAGCCAACGAAAATTCGCAGGACCATCCACACCATTCGCGATGGTCTCGATATCGAGATGGACGACGATGTTATACGTGCCCTGCGAGAAGGCCAAGACATGACATTGGAGATTGATCCAATCAGCGAGTCGATTAAGAGCGAATGGGAAATGGCCGTTGACAGCATCGACGAGACACCGACCGAAACAACAATTGAGGAGGCGAGCGGATACATACTCCGCCTCTATTTCTAGACGATACCCTTTTTCTTTGTCATTTGATTTACTGTTTTGTTCACTTTCTATCTCAGCATCTACATTTTGGACATATTGATATTCCACTCATGACGAGTCTTTCGAAACATAGACTAGGGAAGGCATGCATATTCGGCTGGCCTGTCGCCAGGCTTGGGAGGGGAAATGATGGCGGGGGTACACACTAGGATTGGGGGAAATATTTGGGCGTTGAAAGGGCCGTCGAATTTCGCATTTTTGATATTGCTGAGATACCACTACTCACGAACCTTTCCTTGTCTGCTTCATTATACCCCTGAGATTTTTACGATAGTCTTTTTATTATTATCCTTCATATGTTATTTCTTTATCTTTATTTTTTATCCCCCTTTTCGTATTTCATTTCACGGGCTTACGGATGGATGAGAAGACGGGTGAACGGCCTTGGCGAATGAAAGGGGTTTCCTGTCTGAGAGACAAAGCTTACCATCTCTGAACCCTTTGGATTATTGGATTTTACGGATTTGACGAGACCCAGATGTAAACGAATTTCTTGAGGTTGCGGGAACGGTTTTATTTCTTTTTAGTACCACGAGTCAATGTAATAGGCATCCACGAGAAGCCTTTTATACTCCCCACCAATAAGTTTTGATGATCAATTGCATGTTGGCCAGAACCGGGTAATCATCTAACACGAAATTCAAGGAAGAAAGATCGCAGGCTCAAAAGCTTAATTTCCTCGCACCCTCTCAACGTGAGGCCATCTGCTGGACACAGCGTGATAGACTTATCGTACCACAATGTAAGGGTCGGTACGCGTTGTGGCTTGACATGGACATGCAATATGACTGATCAACCAAGTACCTGGCTCCCCGGCGTATCACCGCTATGTTTGCGCCTCTCCTCCACTTCTTCAATAGGCGGAAGCATGAGATCTGCAGCCTTCGGTCGGAAACGAATACGAAAGGGGCTAAGCTGCCTTTTCCCAGTGCTCGGGAGCTGGATGGTTTTGACTCATTTTACATGACGGCGAAATTCAAAGCTCACACGGGACCTATCCTGCCAATCAAAATAGACCCGGAGGGTTTATGATGTACATGCACATGGTTCGTACCGGTGCGTGTATGTGATGCAATGCACAATGCGCACGTCGAACCGCTGTCATACTTACATGAACCGGCCATGGAGCCGCCAATCAGATAACCAGGCGCGCAGGGCGTCGATGACCACCGGCGCCGAAGGAGAAGAAAAAATGGAGCCGGCACGGGGGGCCTTGGCTTGAAAGCCAAACAGGTAAGAAATGTTGTTTTGGGCCGATGTCGCTGCTGCGTTTTCGCTGCGAATTTCCTGTTGCGGGGGGCATGGCCATCATCTCATTCTCGAGAGACCGGTCTGGGGGAGAGATGCACGCGGCCCGTGCCCGATGCAGCCTTTGTGGCTGCTTGTTCGTTGCGTGTGTGTGTGTGTGTTTGGCTTGAAGATTGGCCTGGTGACTGGGGATCAGACTAAGGTAGGTAAAGGAAGATCACATCCGGCGTCGGGATGGGGTAGCCAGTGTGGAGGAGCCTGATGACGATCTCCGGAGAGATGATCAATACCTAGACTAGATTTCTTGGCCATGCCTCGGCCCTCGTCTAAAAGCCGACGGCATGGAATGCTACATCTTTTGTACGGCCACAAGGGGATATTCAGTGACCGGTGCTTTGATCAACGGTTCGGGGAGAGCCAGTCCAACCATGTTGACATACCCAGTCCCAGTCGTGGAAAGATTGGTTGCATCGCCAAAGTCCTCGCGCCGTAAAGCCAAGCCCGTTGGCTGTGGGGCCATTATGCCCGGCGCAATATCCGACTTAAAATTCAAGACGAGGCCGGCAACGGACAATCACTTGTTTAAATGGGTCGATTGCATCTTTGCCTGAGAGTGTGGGTTCCCCCCATGGAGGGACAGATGGAGAGATAATAGTAACTAATCCCCCGTTGCCTCCCCAGACACACTTTTTTCAGAATCTGATCCCAGCAAGCAATTTTCTCTCTCTTCGATTTTCCTCAACTTCGACGCTTGGCAACGTTAAATGGAACAGTGTCATGCAAAGCAATGACCCTGCCTGCAATGATTCATCCTACCTTTAGGCCCCTTTCGTCCTAATCCGCTCACTCACCCCACATACAATTCCTCTCCAACTCTTCCCCTGTCTGAGACAAGGTGGATAGTGTATCGAGCAATGGAGAAAGACATGAACCAAGATGCCGAGAAGGCCGTACCGCGAACTAGTACTAGTGACGCTTCATCATCGTCTAGTTCGGGGAGCGATTCTATTCGGCTAGAACCCATCCAGACCAACAGGACAAATCACAGCCAACGCAGTGTGGCAACGCACCGTCTCGACGGCACAGATCCGTACCAAAACTTAGAGAACGCTCTCACGGCGGATCCAGAATTTGCGGCCGAATGCATCGCACATACTCGCACTGCTGCCAGCACGGCGAGCAACGCCTCCCGGCCTCCGGACTTTGAGGTTGTCTTTGAGGATGGTGACCCAGAAAACCCCAAGAATTGGTCCACACTGTACCGAGCATGGATCATCGCCGTTCTGGCTTACACGGGGTGGATTGTGGTCTTGTATAGTACTAGTTATGCGTCTACCATCCCCGGTCTGGTGGAGGAATTCGACTCATCAACCACAATCGCAACTCTGGGTATGACAACATACCTGCTGGGCCTGGCTGCTGGCAGCCTGTTTCTGGCCCCCGTCAGCGAGTTGTACGGCCGTCAAAAAGTATACCTTATATGTCTTTTATGTTGGGCGCTGCTCATTCTTCCCAGCGGACTGGCAACAAATTTGACCAGTATCATTGTCAGCCGCTTCTTTTGGTAAGTGATTTCCCTCCTCGCTTGTAGCTTCATCCCTGAAACTGACTTCTGCCAGTGCTTTCTTTGGCGCCGTCATGATTGCCAATAGTCCCGGTACTGTCGTTGATATCGCCAACCCGGATTTTCTTGCATTTGTGTTGTCTATGTGGAGTATCGCGCCGATGAACGCGCCTAGTACTGGTGGAATCATCGGCGGCTTCGTTTATCAGTACCTTGGATGGAGATGGAGTGGTTGGATCGTCCTCATCGGTGGCGGGGTCGGAATCGGTCTCATGGCTACATGCAAAGAGACGTACCCTCCAACGATATTGCAACGAAAAGCAGCGCGAATGCGAAAAGAGACTGGCGATGAGCGATGGTGGTGTCAGTTTGACCAGAGAGTTTCCAACTTCGAGCTCGCAAAGATCAACCTCAAGCGGCCGATCATTCTATTCTTCACAGAGCCTATCCTTTGGTTCCTAAATTTTTGGTAAGCAGTCCCTCCTTCGTGCGCTTTGTGACTTGGCCCCCGTTGCTAACAGTTCAGGCTGTCTCTTGTATACGGAGTGTTGTATCTTTGCTTCGTTGCCTACCCCATCGTGTTCTCGCAGCACAGAGGGTGGACTGCGGGTATATCTGGACTTGCCTTCTCGGGTATTGGAATCGGCACCATGATCGCTATTTTGACTGAGCCTCTTATCCGACGTTTCATCAACTCGCAGCCTCGTGATCCGGAAACCGGAAAGGTACCTCCAGAGTCCACGGCGCTCGTCATGGCGATCGGGTCAATCTTCACAGCCATAGGTCAATTGGTCTTTGCGTGGACTTGTCTCCCCACAACCATTCACTGGGCCATCCCTATCGCCTTTGGAATTCCCTTCGGTCTCGGCAACACCCTGTCCTTCATTTATGGCGCGAACTACCTTGCTGGAGCGTATGGGATTTATTCTGCTAGTGCGCTTGCTGGGAATGCTGTTGTCAGGAGTATATTCGGTGGAGTCCTGCCTCTGGCTGGAGCGAAGATGTACCAAGCTTTGACACCACAGTGGGCTGGAACATTGCTAGGTCTGCTTGAGGTCATGATGATCCCGATCCCGTTTGTCTTCTGGAAGTACGGCGCCAAGATTCGATCAAAGAGTCCCGTGATTTGCCAGTTGCGCGAGGAGCAAGAGAGATTAGACGCGAGGAGGGCAAGATACCTAGCGAAGTTGGCAAGACGCGAGGCACAGGCGGCAGAGAAAAACTTGGAAAAGAACTCGGGGGCCGAACAGGAAGTTACTGTCACAGAAGGTCCTGAGGAAGAAAAGGTTTCTTTGGCGTAGAGAGCTGGGGAAAACGATAAAAAGGCTGAAGAGCGAGTGTACTACTGGTAGTACCTATCCTATCAGTAAGGACATTACAAAAGACGAGTCAAACTCGCAGATTTAATTAAACAGCAGACGCAGATACCGCGTCTTCTAAGTAAACACCACCAGGTGGCATAAATTGGTAGATTAAAAGAGGGAAGAGGGAACGGATATAATGATATAATAAGCATACCTTGTACGTTGAGCGTTATCCAAACAGAATAAGCACTGGGTCATATCGCCGAGTGGAATCAAATGGATGTGAGAAGCTGTAGATAAGTATAATTGAACGGGGGTGTTACACCTCACACCTCAGTCAACCAACTGCTTTTCGAAGCTGGGCCAGCACATTTTCTGCAAACTCGTCCCCATTTTCTCCGGACACTCCGCCAAGAACCACAACTTTGTCTCTAGACTTCATGCCGTGGCTTAAGGAAAGTCTCGACTTGGGGACATCCAGCACGTCACTAAGGAGGCTGACAACAGCTTTGTTTGCCTCACCATCCTGGGCTCGCGCAGCCACACAGAGGTCGACTGTGGAGTCGGAAACACTGAGGATGCCTTCTCGGTTCTTGCTCGCGCCGGGCTTCACGTGCAGGTGAATCTGCAAAGAGCCCAGCGGAGACTTCTTGGAGGCGGCGATAAAGCGAACGGCGCCCGAGGATGCCATCAGATAAGCCAAAGGGGCGATTTGGTTTTATAAGTGAACCCTCGCCGACGCATAGGTAGGATAAGGGGGTGTGTTTTTTTTTTGGTGTGTGCAAAGGGGAAAATGAACTTGACGTTGTGGTCAGCACAGCAGGTGCCCAATGAGAGTAAGA